AGGTGTGGGTCCAGTTTCAGTCTTCTACAGGTTGCCAGCCAGTTCACCCAGAACCATTTGTTAAATAGGGAATCTTTTCCCCATTCAATGTTTTTAATTGGCTTGTTAAAGATCATATAACGGTAAGTAGCTGGGTTCATGTCTTGGTTCTCTATTCTGTTCCATACATCTACCTCTCTGTTTTTGTGCAGTACTATGCTGTTTTGATCACCATCAATTTATAGTATAGTCTGAAGTCTGGTAGTGTAATTCCTCTTGCTTTGTTTTTATTTCTAAGTAATGTCTTGGCTATTCAAGGTTGTTTCTGATTCCATATTTAAAAAAGTATTATTTTTTCAAGATCTTTAAAGTATGACAGTGGAGCTTTAATGGGGATTGCATTAAAATTGCTTTGGGTAGTATTGACATTTTAACAATGTTGATTCTTCCCAGCCATGAGCATGGTATGTTTTTCCATTTGTTAACATCTTCAGCTATTTCTTTTCTTAGATTTTCATAGTTCTCTTTATAGAGATCTTTCACGTCCTTTGTTAGGTAAACTCTCAAATATTTCATCTTCTTTGGTGCTACTGTGAACGGAATAGAGTCCTTGACTGTTTTTTCAGCATGACTATTGTTGGTATATATAAAGGCTACAGATATATGAGTGTTGATTTTGTAACCTGAGATGCTGCTGTATTCCTTGATCACTTCTAAGAGTTTTGTAGTAGAATCCCTGGTGTTTTCCAGATATACAATCACATCATCTGCGAAGAGTTAGCACATAGAGGGGAGGAGGTGTGGGAGAAAGGAAGGTGAGATTGGACTTGACTGTATTTGGATTTACTCTGAATTACTTTTTAGATGGAATTACTCTAATCTCCAAAGATGAAGCCCCTGGAAGCTCTGTCACATCTGAAGAGGCCGAAAAGGTATTGAGGGGTAACTTCCTTACGTTAGTTGAATTATTGCTACGGATATTTTCCTGATACCCTTGACGAAGTTAAATTTTATGGGTGACTAAATTAGTACACACTTTCTTTCAATAAGAATAAGCAAAGTGCTTGTACTGCAGCATCCTCATGGGAGAAATTATCGACTTACTACAATTTCCTGTAGCCCGTGGTTATATTTCTAGAATTTACCTGTTATTCCAGTATTATAGCTTGAGCTACTCCATAGAGTATACAAACTTAGCCTAGGCCCTGGTAAAGACTATGATTCCCACCCTGACCACACGTGAGTCACCTGGGGAGCTTTTTTGTTTTTTTTTTAATGTTGATTAAAATCAAGTCAGAATAACCCCAGAGACTCTGTTGGTCTAAGATGGGTCCAGGGCATGATTGGTTTGAGTTTTGAAAGCCCTCAGATGATTGTAATGTGTAGGGGGTAGAGAAACACTAATGTTTTAACATGAGGGACATCCAGGTGTTTTCAGTAAAAGGCCCCCATGTATGGGGGGGGCGTAGATTCTTAGGCCAAGGCCTCCCTGCTTGGTGTCTGAATATTGAATCTGATTCAGCCATGAGTCAAATACATCTGGCTATTCAGTTCAGTAACACTTCATTATACCTCAAGGCTGTGATGAAATTTTAATGAAATTAAATTGAATAGCTCAAAAGTGTGTAGTTCATAAGATTCCGTTTCAATCTCAGTCATTGACTGATCTGGTCCTGCAGATCTCTGCCTGGCAGCTGGCAGCTACTACTTCTGCTAATATGCAGGGCACTATCCAGGGAAACATGAAATCACCCCTGTCTTCCAGGAGCTCAAATGGTCAGGTGTAAGGTAGTATAGGGAGGCAAAGAGGGCTCAGAAAAGACCTATACATGCTAAGGAAGAGCTTGGTTTGGGACTAGCAGACAGGAATCTGTTAGGGAAATGGCAGGAACAGGGCTGGAAATGGCAAAATTGGCAAAATGTAGGACAACTTAAAAATGTCTTGAATTTTCAATTCAATAGAGGCATTTGGTAGAAACCATAGTATTGTTTGAGAGAGAATATACAAGAATTTTTATTAAGCACTTTGCCTGGCAAAAGATTTTTCTTAAAGCATGCTGGCAGGGGGTGATTATTGTCTCCGAAGGAGTTCTGTGATGTCTGTGCCCAGTCCTGTTGCAGTCAGTACTGAGTACCAGGGGCCTGAGTGTGGTTTTATTCTATTTGTCACTTCATACAATGTGGGATAATATTTTTCCCTTTCAGTCAGGGTTCCCTGGAGAAACAGAACCAGTAGAACACACCCATACACACACACACACACACACACACGTGCACACAGGTTGAGTGACTTTAAAGAGTCAGCTTATACAGTTGTGGGAAAAGACAAGGCTGAAAATTGTAGAATAGGTTAGCAGGTTGTACTCTCAGGCAGGATTTCTATACTGTAGTCTTGACGTAGAATTCCTTCCTCTGGGAAACTCAATTTTTGCTCTTCAGGCCTTCAACTTATCGGATAAGGCCTATCACCGTTATGAACGGTGAGCTTTTCAGAGTAAGGTGATTGTAAATGTTAATCACATCTACAGAATACAGAAATTGTAAATGTTAATCACATCTACAGAATAGAGCAGTGTTTAAGAGAACTGTGCAGCACAGCCTAGCCAAGTTGGCACACAATGCTAATTGTCACATTGGGTGAAGACTTAGGTAGTTTCTGCTGAGTAAGTAAAATAAGTCAAGACAAATAATCTAATTTTAGTCATTATTGCATTTAAAAAAATCTGTCATTCAGGTGGTAGTTGAGTGCAGCAGTTTATGGAGGAAGTGAGGAGCACGGGTCTGAAAAGGTGATGCTTCCTCCCAGCAGCGCATCTAACCCAGAGGTGTCCCAGCGAAGCGAATCGAGAATATTAGAAAGGCAAGAAATCTAAGAAAGGGTAATGCACTTGCAAATTGTGTGAGGCTTGTTTTATATTGCAAATGCAATATCTTCTTTGGTATTTAAGGGCACTGAGCCTAAGCATCAAGAATTTTAATGTCTGATAAGTAAGCTACAGAGAGAAATTTCAGTTAATGACCAGATATGAAGTAGTGTCCTTAGCATATTATCAGGCTGATTTCATTTGTGGTGTAAGACAACTCTGGAAACTTGACCATCTTGGATTAGAGAAAATACAGTAAAAACCAAGTGAAGAGAATCTCTTGTAGTCTCACCATTGGTTGCCTGGCTTTGACGGGAGTCTTCTTTTGGAGCACAGTATCGCCATGGTCAAGGCACAGTAATTACCTTCTAGTACTACCAGCAAAACTTACCCTCACTGTCATGGCAGATAAGAAATTAGGAAATTCAACTAAAATTTACTGATAACAGATCTATACTAGGCACTTGGGCTGTGCAGTATCTCAGAGCCTTCAAAAGAGGATATTTCACATTAACCTTGCAGACTCACATCTAGAAAATGGCATTCTTCCACATTTACTGATGCTTCAACCAATTTAATAGTTATACCTAATATTAGCATCACACTTTGCCTTCTAAGGAACATTCACATTATGTGATATTCACCTAGAACATTGTATACATCATATCTGGGTCATGGAACAAAATAACGGTAATAAAATTGTGTATGTGTCTAAATCCAGCACTAAAAAGCCCTGCACTATCTCTGTGACCTGCTAAGGATTGACAGGAAGGGACAGGAGCAACCATCCCTGTTAGGTCCCGGAAGGTGACGGGGAGTTCCACTGTGAGCACACAGAGGCAGCAGAGGATGCCGGAGCTGGTTCCTGCGTGCTGCCCTGGACCTTCATTCCTAAATGGATTACGTCTCATAAATGGAATCTTGGACTAACAGGCTCTAAAATACTGTAGTCCCTATTGACTTCATCTCAGTAAATAATTATCTGGCCCAGAACAGGCAGTGGTTAGAATGATCTGGAAAATTGTAGAGTAGAGCCTGGAACTCTGGTTCACCTTCAGCATATGCTCTATCGAGGGGGTGTAAGCTCTGTGTCTGCTTTAATATCACTTGAACCCTTTTTTTGTTTTTCAAAGTGAAAAGTTGGTCAGTGGTATTAGAAATGTTTTTAAATAGTATCTTTTGATATTTGGAAAGAAGTATAGAAGGGAGAGTGCACGTAGGATGATAATGGGGAGAACTGCAAAGGAAGATTCTGTCTCAGGGAAACTGATTCCTTTGTAATTTAACAGACATGTGTCAGCCACTGGAGGGAACCGTAATCACTTTTGACCTATGTTGAGATACTCATTTACAGTGCCTTCCAGTGTTAAGTTTGGTCACTTCCCCAATAATCATTTAAGGAAACTTGGCTATAATTAGAGATTGAAGAACAATCCTCAGTCCACTTAAATTCTTCTGAGGTATTTGCTGTAAGTTATTCAAAGTTAGCAAGCTATCAACTTCATGCTATTAAATGTTGACATTTGAAAAGAAATAATTATCCAGGATGTCCATTTTAAATGAAGATTAGGACTAGGTGGGTAGCTCATGCCTGTAATTTAACTCTACCACTTTGGGAAGCTTAGGTAGGAGGATTTGCTTGACACAAGAGTTCGAGACAAGCCTGGGCAACATAGCAAGATCCTGTCTCTATAAAAGGCAAAATAAAAAGTAAATAAATAAATGAAAATTAGATTGTAACTTTATGTGTGGATAGCATCTTAAGGATAGACATTTCCTTCCAGTGTGTTTGAGCAATGTATAGATTCTGTGATTCTTTGAGAAATAGAGTAAGGTCAGCCCTGCTGCAGAGAGGAATGTTCTGCCATAATATGAAGTTTGGGTAGTCACTTTAAGATTCCCGGTACCTCTTATTTCATTTTGAAACCTAGATATAAATATTGCCCCTCTTTTTTGCTCATTTTTATGATCTTTATAACTTGTCTCTTCTTTCACTTACCTTTTTCTGTTTCTGGTTGGTGTTGTTAGACCTGCCATTAGCGTTTGATGTTTGGCAAAGTCTTTGGCGAGCCCCCATGTGCCCTTTGTCAGTTCATTCCCGCGGTGGGTGGGAAAGGGGAAGTGACATGTCTGGGATCTCACAGGAAGTCATTGGCCAGGAATCCTGGTCTCTAGCACTGATTCTCGGTCCTTTTTATTCTATGTTGAGAACACAGCAGGGAAGAGGATTTATCCCAGGGCTTTGGAATATAGTTTTTCACGGGATTCCAAGAAGCTGAGCTGTGTCTAAATAATCATTTGATACAAGCTCTATAGGGAAAAAAAAATCACTGTTTTAGAACTTGTTCTCCTTGTACCTGTCTCATCTATCCTTCTTCACTGTTGTTGACACTTATTGATTTTCCACCTTGGTATCACAGATGCACAGAGCTTAGTAATGTGCTCATTTTCCCTACTCCATCTGCAGGGGTGGAGTTGACTAGCTCAGTGTCTCACAGCATGTCAGTGGCTGACAGAATTGACTGGAATCCAGACTCCTGGGCTCCCAGCACAGTCACCTTTTCACCACACCATGGTGCCACCTCTCCACGCTGCCACCTTACAGTGCCATCAGCCACTCTACCTACAGAGGAAACTCACACTCACACCAGTTTTGTGTGTGTGTTTAAAAGAGCGCCAAAGCCTTGGGGAGGATTATAAAACAAAGTTTAAGAACCATTTCTTGAGAACAGTGTTTTGAAACTGCTGGCTAGTGTTGGACCTTTGCTCTTTTCTGCCTAAATCTCTGGTGTATTTTGAATAATGAAAATATCTCCATGTTACCTGTTACTTAGGGCTTGAACTTTTTATTGAGGAGAAGTATACATACAGTAAAGGCACATTTGGTTTTTGTTTTATTCTTTTTGAGACATAGTCTCACTCTGTGCCCTGGGGTTGAACACCATGGTGTCATAGCTCACAGCAACCTCAAACTTGGATTCAAGTGATCCTCTTACCTCAGCCTCTCAAGTAGCTGGGACTACAGATGCCTGTCTGTTTTTAGAGATGGGGTCTAACTCTTGCTCAGGCTGCTCTCAAACTCCTGAGCTCAGAAGATCAACCCACGTCAGCCTTCCAAAGTGCTAGGATTATAGGTTTGAGCCACTGTGCCTGGCCCAAATGCACCGATCTTAAATGGGCACCTTGATGACATGTCCGTATACCTGAGAACTCAGCTCCCAGATCAAAACAAACCTTCATCACCCCAGAAGGTCCCCTGGTTTCTTCCCAGTCAGAACCCTCTTGTCCCCTGAGGTAACCACTATTCTTACTTCTGTCACCTGAGAGTAGTTTTACCTGTTTTTGACCTTCATATAATCACTTTTTGTGATTTATCCACGTTTTAGTTATTCATCCTTTAACATGGCTGTATAGTATCCCTTTTATGATTTATACCACAATTTATCCATCCATTCTCTTAACAACAGACATTTTCCTGTTTCTAGACTTTGGGAATTATGAGTAAAGGTGCTGTGGACAATCTCACACATATCATTTGCTGGACACATCCTTGGCATAATACTAGGCACTAGAACGTAAGCCTTGACACTAGCACAAAGAATTTTCGCATACTTTATTTCATATTAGACTGACCACAATGCCGTAAGATAACTGATATCTCAGTTATCAGATAATAGACGTCCTGCTTTTGGATTTTTAACAATTTGTCCCACGTCCCGCAGCGTTTTAAAAAAGTCCCAATTTTTGGAAAGAATGCACGAGCAGGCAGGAGAACAGTAAGGAAATATACGGTTTTCGGCTGCCATGTGGCTATTTTGCCAGGATATGAATTTTATATTATTTTTGTTAATTGTATAATGTTAAACTGTAATAATAACAAATAATTGTTGAGAAGTGATTATCCAGAGCTGCTTATCAAAGTTTGCATTGTTGTCAGGCCCCATCCCCACCCCGCCCCTGCCCCCGCCCCACAGCCCTCGTCAAGGGTGTCCTGCTTTACCAATGTGAAAATCTGGTCACCTTAGGCAAGTAGTAGTAGTGCTGCCATTTTATTTTTGAGGAGTATCAGTTATGAAAAGGTCAGGCGGCTCGCCCAGGGTTCCTGAGGAACCCACGCAGCTAAGGTTCTGGGTGTGTTCTCCACAGGAGGCTGCAGGTTTCTCTGCTGCTCCCTATTACCTTGATAGCATGAAAAGAGCTACAGGGAACACTAAGGAAATGCAAATGTGTGTCATTTCAGACAAAACGCATGAAAATGACTTTTGTTCTTTGTGATGCTTTTCATGCCTGGGGATTGTGGATGATCTTTTGGAATCACCTGATGGAAGCCGTGTGTTTGGATTTGGGGATTGTGAGGGTCTGAGGATGAGCTGATTGTTAGCTTTTAGTCTTACGGAAGGCTGGGACTGGCAGTTTCTATACAGGGGTATTGATTCCATGTCCCTGCTTGTGGCCAGGATTGTATTTCACTGAAAAGTAGCAGGTTATCCATTTCATAAAGATCTCCAGGTAACCCCACGTAAGCGATGGTGGCCTGAGGAAGAAAGCATGTGTCACACAAGTGTCCTTTCTATTTATTCTCTATTTTTTTTTTTCCACCTATGGCAGAGGGAAGGAGCACGAGAAAAGATGAGAGTTGCCTCCTACCCCTTTCTGCTGCGTCCAGAGAGCTTTTATGGAGAAAGCAGGCCAATCATTGAATTCTCAGCTCTATCTCTAGCTTCCCTGCCACTGCACAGCTTGGAATTGCTTGCAGTTAAAAACTCTGATGAGGAGGAGCGATACGGAAGAGATCAGCCTTGCCTGGGGCTTTGGGAAGCATAATGGATGGCAGCCTCGCTTTTAGCCATAATTTGCTTACACAGAAACGAGAAGCAGATCTGTCAGGAAGAGCAGTTGCAGATGTTCGGCACGTGATAGCAGTGAAAGGGGTTTTTTTTGGCTGCTGTTCCTCTCTCCCTAGGAATTTGGCCTTGTCTCACAGATGTGCCATTTGTGTTTAATTGTATATACCGTGGTCATACTGTGTAGACAGCCCTATCTTAATTTATCCTTTAATCGCATTGTGAAAGGGGCTTTGCAGGTGGAGAAGGAGTGGGAATGGGAGCTTTTAGAGGCTAAGTGCCAAATAACATCGCTGATTTTCTAGATTCATCGATAAGTAGCTAATCATAAATAATAAAAGATGTACTGGAGTTTGTCATCTGTTTGGAAGGTGCTGGTCATTTGTGGCCCTGCTGAGGTTTCTGTCAGGACTCAGCTCTCCCTTTTCTTCTCTTCACCCAGCCTGGGTAAGTTTTATCCTGTAGCCACACATTCCTGATGCCGGGAAGATCCTGCAGGGAGAATGAGAATGCGTAGGAGAGGAGAGGTGCAAAGTCACGATGGTGATAACAGTCAGGAACACCTTAGGGAAGATTGATTGGAGCATAATTTGCTGAACTTTTAAACATAAATCGTATGTTAGTAAATGTGTGGATTTTATTATTCACTTACCCTCAGACATCTTTATTAATATTTACTCAGAATAAATAAATCTTCATGACAGTTCTGCTCCAGACTTTCTGCCCCCATTGCTCGGATTTTTTGTCTTTTATGCCATTGACTTCCAGTTTAGGGTCAACCAAGGGCTATGGAAAGATCCGTAAATATCCTTAAAAGAAGATAAATTCCTTATTCAGTCACATCGAAGTTAGAATAGTGAGATGATTTTGCCTGAGGGGGAAAAATCTATGAGAGAGGTTAAGTCAGCTAGCCATGCTCATGGTGCTGACGAAGGCAGCCCAGCTGGGCAAGCGTGGCCTCTTCTGCTGCCATGTTGTTCCCTGGGTGTGAATTTCTGTACACGAGGAATGAAGGGCAGGCAAAGGTTGCTTCCTGAAACTCGCTTCACACACGCGTGACTTTGGTTTGTGACTGATTAAACACACATAGTTTACGTGTAGTTCTTAGGTTTTAGAGCCCTTGATTGTATCCATTGTACCATAAAATAACCAGGAATGTAGAAAGAAAGCAGTTCTTACCATTTTTCATGCTGAGAAAGTGAGAGAAGCATTAACTACATGGCAGCTGCAGGACAGCAGAGGTGAGGGAGAGGTGAGCTCACCAGGCCCTACTACCTGCATGTGGCCCTGAGGAATGTCGCCAGAGGGAAGCATGATCCACCTGCCACCACCCCCTTTAAAACACTCACTGCTACAAGATGCCCAGAAGACACCTTCCCATGTGAGGGCAGACAGGCACTGCTGGAACCAGGCTCTCAGAAGCAGTTGCCGCAGGCCTTGAAGGGGAAGCCTCCTGCTGCTGTCTGCTGGGCGCTCACCAGCCTTTTACACCTGATGGCCTTCCCAGGGCGGCCCAGAGTTTACTTCTGGGTCTTTGCTTTTCTATGTTTCTGCCTTTTAGAAGCTGAGAGCTGAACAGAAGTTTTCTCATCCATTTCTTATCTACCTATTTTCAAACAATTCCTAACACAAACTGAACAATTTCCACCAAAGCCATTAAGTGACCTCCCCAGCTCACCATTTTCATGTTTCTCATTTCTTACCACAAGTCCATTTTGTACACTGTTTTGTCCTCAGGAGAGTTCAAGAATAAGTGATTCTAATCTCGACTTGATTCTTTTTTTTTTTTTTTGAGACAGAGTCTCACTTTGTCACCCTCAGTAGAGTACTGTGGCATCACAGCTCACGGCAACCTCCAGCTCTTGGGCTTAGGCCATTCTCTTGCCTCAGCCTCTCGACTAGCTGGGACTACAGGCGTCCACCACAATGCCCAACTATTTTTTTTGTTGTTGCAGTTTGGCTGGAGCCGGGTTTGAACTTGCCACCCTCAGTATATGGGGCTGGCGCCCTACTACTGAGCCATAGGCACCACCCTGGACTTGATTCTTAACCCTCCCTTAAACAGAGCATGCTGGTTTGGGATGTTTGGTTATTAACTTTAACAAGCCCCTGCAGAAGCAAGAATGGAAATGTCAGATGCCCAACACACTGATACGGACTCTCCTCACAGTCACTGTCTCCGCAGCCATGTCACTTCCTCCCTCTGCGCCAGTCTCTCTGGTGACTAGTTAATGTTGAACCTCAGAGTTGGACACCACATCCAGAGTCAAGTGAAGGAGAAGAGGCCAAGATGGTGTTTCAGGTCTTCTTAGGTTTGTCTTTGACAATGCTAACACCTTGCCTCTCCTTCAAAAACAGCAAAACTGTCTTTTTGGTGTCATAACGGACTTTGTATTCACAGTTTCTGGCCTCCAAAGAAAAACCGAATGAAGAGGCAGCAGCCCCGTTTGAAGAAGGTGGTGACGTGGACGATTTAGTAAGTGCCTTCAATTACACCAGGTGTTGTGATGGAAATCGCCTGAGCTGTAAATACAGCCACAAAGGCGGCTTACCTTAGACATGTTCCTTATTTGTGTTTCAATTTCTAACACACCAGAAGCTCCCCCCATCCTGTTATTTATTGCCATTCTAAATTTAATCAGATAGGTAATTTCATAATGGAAGTTCCTGTGTTTCATGGTTTCCGCTGTATTATTCATTCAGATTAATCCTCTCCTTTGAAGGGCTAAAAAAGAGCTACGGCAGCTAATTCTTTAGTAACAAAATATTATAATTCACTGAAATTACTCTTAACCAAAAATAAGCAATACGACATGTAATTTGTGTGGGTTGACAAAAACAGCCTTTAAAAAGCCTACTTCTTAAATGCTCTCAATTAACTAACTGTAAACAAAGTAGACTGATAGGCATTTGAAGATTTCACTCTGCACCTCACTGTACCGTGGCGTAGATGCCTGGGAAGCCGCGTAAATGTTGCCTTACTTTTATATCCACCTTCCATGTTTGCACACTTCCTACCTTTAAGACTCACGTGACAACTGTCCAGCAAAACGCTACACATCCAGCCTGTTCATGGAGAAGTTCTTAGTACTAAAATAAGGAGATGCTTAGTATTTAACTGCTAAAATAGTGAGCAGTGCATGAGTGCAAGTCCGTGCCTCAGCCATATAGAGAACCATTTTCATTAAACCCTCTCTCACCAGAGAAGCAGAGGTCCCAAGCTGGCCTAGTTCCTTTCTAAACATGTTACTCTTGTTTACAGCTGGACATGATATAGGTCACGGAGTGTGGAGACTCTGAGAGACTTGCTCTTGCTGCGGCTGGGAGTTGTAACAGAACAAGCTGGAAGAGGCTACGCAGAAGCCCTGAGATAGTCCCAGCAGGTTACGAAGAAGCGGATCACCTGATCTCTGCAGAATGAGAATATGCACATATACACATATCATGGGGACACCTTAACCCCGTGCAAGTTTATAAAGAGTTGTTATTTTCTGATTGGTGTAGTTTCTTTTGTGGTCTTATTGATCCTGCATATTGTGCACGTGCTTTGAAGTTTCTGGAAAGTAGATTGCATCTTGACCTGATAGACTGGTGAGTTGTGCAGCCCTTGTGAAGGGACTAGCATAACTGGCGTAGTTAATGGTGAGTTTCTCAACCCTTCCCACGAGTCGTGTGTCTGACAGCAAGCACAGCTCATGCTGAATCATCAATAGCATTTGTTTCCTACCAAAAAGTAGCTGGGTTGGGAAAATCACAGTAAGGACCGACCTATTTCTCTTTGGGTTAGCCTCTTAATGACCGCATTTCTTTGGCTCTCTAAATGGGGCTTTTCCATAAGCAGAGCAGTAAAGGGAGCATTTCCCTGCCTACCCATTTTGAGCAGTGAGTAATATGGTTGTGATCTCATGAAGAAAGGGGGTCCTCTCTTGGCCCAGCTTCTGCCACATCACCAAACCTTAACAAAGAAAACCCCAAACTGGGAAATTCACCACCAGTAATTAGGATCATATCGTTTTTATTATTACTTGCAGATCTCTAGGAGAAAGAGTTTGGATGTATTAAAACACTTCTTCCCTAATTTCCCACTCTTCCTCATCTACCTAAGTCAACTTTCATACCTCTCTGAGTGATGTTTTCTTTCCTAAGTAAGAAAATAGTGAAACCCTTATTTACTTTTTTCCTGTTCTTATTCCTTCCCTAAGTTCTAGCTCCTTTTCCCAGATTGTCACAAACTTCTTGGTTCCCAATCTCCCATATCCTTGGCACCCCCATAAATGGTCACCACA